GGGGTGGGGAGGCCCTGCAGGTAGGGTGTGGGGCGGGTGTGACCTGTGAGGGGTGGGGGGGCCAGGCGTGACCTGCAGGTGGGGTGAGCAGGGCTGGCATGACCCATGGGTGGGCTGGGAGGGTAGCAGGCATGACCTGTGAGGGGTTGGAGAGGGGCCAACATAACCTGTGGGTGTGATAGGAGAAGCCAGTGTGACCCGCAGATAGAGTGGGGGGGGCAGGCAAGACCCACAAGGGGTGAGGGGGCAGGTGCGACCTGTGAATGGGGTTGTCCTCGCCAGTGAACCTATACCCCCATTCTTCCCACCCCTCCTCCCACCAGGACTTAACTTGCTCAGCTCTGGCAGTGGTGAATGCTGATAAAAGTGGCTGTACCTGGAGTGGCTTGTGGGATGCAGGTTGAGAAGGCTGGCTGGTCGGGGGTGGGGGAGAGGAACAAGAGTAAAAAAATAGCCCAGTTGGGTGGGGGGTGAAAAGAGCAGCCCCTGGGCTGGGGCCAGTGGCTGAGTTTTCCCAGCCCTGGGGCTGTGCAGGGAAAGTACAGAATTTCTATGCACCAGTTTAATATAAATCAAATAAGTTTGATACTTCATCAGTCTAGATGTATCTTAAAGTGGTTTCTGCAATTTTTAGACCAGACTGTGTGCATGGAACTTCTGTTCAGTTACAGTTTTAGACTGCTTGCCAGTCACTGAGACTGGGTCTGTAAGTGTAAGGTTGGCATCGGGACAAGCTAAGTTTAAATTGGGCAGACATTTTGAACCTGATTTAACCTGCGCAAAAGTCTGTACTTAGCCCAAGTGATGTATACTTTTCACATCATTTTTGGCCAAAAGCTTGTCTAATCTCTGTTAGCTTTATGGTTTGTCCAAAAAAATGTCACAAAATACCTTGACTACTCATGTCATTACATTACATAAACTAAGTGTTAAAAATCTCCATGAGCAGCACACATGCAGAATTGTCAGTCTATAATGTCCATTTCTTTGCTTGCAGTAGGTAAATATAGTGTTAAACTGTGTGTAGTGAGATATGAGAACTCTCCTGAGGAAGAACACCTCTCATTGAGGATATTGGTTCCTTTGGAAACTCACAAATAAATGAATTGGCTTAGGTGTCTTTACCTATTTACTCATCCACGGTAGGGCTGTGCGAAATGTTACTGTTCCGTTTCAACTTGCATTTCAACGGAACAGTGTTTCATTTTGAATTTTGTTTGGATTCTAAACTGCTGTTCCGTTTCATTTCATCGAAACAGTTTCGCTGTTTCGACGCTGTTTCAATGTTTTGCCCATAGGCTTTAATGGGGAAGCTCAAAACAGCCTATAATGTTATCATTTCTGGCCTGCTTTGGATGAAACTTACAGGAATGTCAACTTGCATTTCAACGGAACAGTGTTTCATTTTGAATTTTGTTTGGATTCTAAACTGCTGTTCCGTTTCATTTCATCGAAACAGTTTCGCTGTTTCGACGCTGTTTCAATGTTTTGCCCATAGGCTTTAATGGGGAAGCTCAAAACAGCCTATAATGTTATCATTTCTGGCCTGCTTTGGATGAAACTTACAGGAATGGTGTAGCCCCTTCTGAGGGCATGAAGCTTGCCAAGTTTCAAGGAGATAGGTGCAGGGGTTTCAGGGAAACTATCTCAAAGTCTTGAAAGCAAAAAACTCATGTCACGTGTATCTGTTAAGCCACAGCGTGGTCAAAACTGCAGGGGTGGTAGCCCCTTTTGAGGGCATGAAGCCTGCCAAGTTTCAAGGAAATAGGTGCAGGGGTTTGGGGGAAACTGCACCTCAAGCTGCAGACAAGCAAAACTCGTGACATGGGTGACACTGTGTGTTAAAGCACAGCAGGGTGAAAGCTGCGGGCTTGCTAGCCCCTGCTGAGGCCACAAAGCCTGCCAGCTTTCAAGAAGATAGGTGCAGGGGATTCTGGGTTCTGGGGCCTTGCACCTCTAGCTGCTGACAGGCAAAACTCATGACATGGGTGCTTGCGCAACTGTGTCTGTCTTGGGGCACAGGGGGATGACAACTGCAGGCCTGCTAGGCCCTGCTGTGGCCACGAAGCCTGCGAGCTGTCAAGGAAATAGGTGCAGGGGGAGTCTAGGTTCTGGGGCCCTGCATCTCTAGCTGCTGACAGGCAAAACTTGTGACATGGGTGGGTGACTCTGTGTGTGTGTGTGTGTGTGTGTGTGTGTGTGTGTGTGTGTGTGTGTTTCTGTATGTTAAGGTGCACCCTCACTCAACTGACACCAAGGCAGAAAGGGACCAACAAGAGTGCCCCAAACCCCCCCCCCCATAAGAGACAAGAGCCCCTGGCTCGCCACGCACCTTTCTAAGCAGTGGTGGCAGTGGCTCCTTCTGGCTTTTGGCTGCTACTGCCACAGACCCCCACAAGAGTTGGAGTGTAATTCAAACCCTGACGAAGATTGAATACAAATAAGACCTGAATTATGACAGTAAGGTTACATCTTCTGTATGACAGTAATGAAAGCATCTCCTGTACTAACAAGAGAAATAAGTCTTTAAATATTGACAGATAAATGGAAAATACAGATGCTAGTTAATACTCTGTTGTTCTGATTATAAGTCTTCCCTATAAAAGAACTATAAAATCTTACCTGACTTATACATGTACCAAGTCAGATACTTTTTCAGGTTTTTGAAATACTTTTAGTGCATTTCATTCTTTGGGCACTTTCCTTCTTGTTTGATTCACTTGTGGAATTTTGTAAGGTCAATCACAGTTCTTTATCTGTAGTTATTCACTTATATTTTTAGAAGAAGCTATTTTTTCTAAAAGTGAACCTGAAAATGTAGGGTTGAGTTTGTTTTTGTATTGCTTTGTGGTATATTTAATTTGTTTTGAATCTGCTATGGCAAGCTTATGTGTTGATCTCATTGCTTGTGAAAATGATCATACCTTAAATATTTAGTTAAGTAAAAAATAAAGTTCTTTCTATTAGGGCAAACTTATCACTAGTGGATACTTCAGGTTTTGACTAGCTCAGGGACCGGCAGTTATTTTGGGCGGAGGGCCACTTGCTGAATTTTGGCAAGCCATTGAGGGCCGCATGACAGGCGGCCAGGGGCAGATAAATACTTTAATTTTCTAAATTTTTTAGGGGCCCCACAGGCTGGATAGAATGTCCTGGCAGGCCACATCCAGCCCATGGGCCGCATTTTGCCCACCTCGGTCTAGCTTGACCACTTTCAGAAGTGTTTATACAGGGATGTTAAACTCATCCAGCCCTGTGTGCTGGGTGAGCATCTCTGGGCTGGTTTGCAGTGCAGATTCGGCTGTGCCAAAACCAGTGAGGAGGGCTGGTTTGGTAGGGTGTCACATGCTGCACACTTCCTGAGCCAGACCCGTGTCCACAGACCTTCCGATCTAGATTGTGCGGCTCCACAGACTGAATGTGGCCCCCAGGCTGTGTTTGACACCCCTGTATTAATATCTGCAATTTCCAGTGTCTTAAATTCATATTGAGTGTAAGGAGAATACAACTGGTTGTCACTCTGAAAAATGTACTTTTCTCTCTTTCTTTCATTTCTTTTTGACTGTCTCATGCTAGAAAGGCATGAATAAATATTGTGACTGGAGATGAAGGTTAATATTCAGTGCTCCTTTTTATTTTTTAATTTACAGGTGAACGATATGTGATGACTTTTTTGAATGTGTTAAATTTTGGGGACCAAGGTAAGGATACTATTTACTAAATAGTGGCACAAAAATTATTGGTCTTGTGCATTTTCATGAACTTTAAAATTAAAAAAATATATTAGAAAGCTCTTTTGAAATGTAGAGGTGGTCTCTAAACTTTAATTATCTGGTTGTATTTCTCATAGGATGTTGGAGAATTGAAGGATGTATGGAAAGCAGATCTTAGTATTTTGTGATCCAAGCCTTTAATTCTGGTTTTCTCTGGATTAGATTTTTTTTCTTATTTGACAAGGCAACGATACTAAATGACTTGCCATAAAAAAGTAATACGACTGTTGTCATTATAATCTTTGCCTCGACTTTAGGTTTTTGCTGCCTAAGTTTTTTCTTTGAATCTTTGTTAATTGGATTTACTTTTTTATCTTCAGCCACGGTAGCTTTGGGCGGATAAACAAAAAAAAAATGTTTGTATGTACTTTTTCTACATTGCACATGGTTACATAGTAATGACTTGGCGAACTCTTTGCAGTCTTTCTTATTTGGGGGACAGGATGCCATTGTTCCTTATTAAAACTTATTCACAATTTGTCTATTCAAAAATGAAATATTTTCAAGGGCTAACAGTTGCCAGTATATTTAGCCTCCCAAATCCTTTTGCATATTTACTTTTCCTCCCTAGAAATGCATCTACTTTTCAATATAAATGTTAAGATTGAGTGATATTGACTTAGGCTGCTCATAGGCATGGGAAAAAAAATCCCGTGCTTTACTGGGAGAGGCATCATGTTAGTTTGATCCTGTTCCACAGTGTCTGTATAGATAGGGTGCTTCAGCGGGGCTTTTTAGCACTTTTATCTAATAGCTGATTCAATCAGCTATTAGATAAAAGCACCAGAAAATCCCACTGAAGTGCTTGATTTATACAGACATTGGGTGAGCTAGGTCAATGCCTCTTCTGGGCATGCACTGGGCTCAGTGTGGGGACTCACTGAGTTTAAAGTAAAGCACTGGTTTGTTTGTTTTTTTATGTTTGTAAGCAGCCTTAATGTCTGTTTACCAAAATTACCAGTTTAAAAGGAATTTATGTTCATGTAATTTTATGGAGGGGGAAATGAAAAACATAAGATGATAAGAAACTATTTAGTGGAGGTTATTTCTCTCTCTCTAGATGCTTTTTTTGCCCCTACCCCTTTTTTTTTTTTAAGGCATATATGACATAGTGAATAACCTTGGTTCACTGGTGGCCAGATTTGTCTTTTTGCCAATAGAGGAGAGTTTTTATGTTTTCTTTGCTAAGATCCTGGAGAGAGGGAAAGATATAAAGCTACAGAAACAGGTAGGTAGTATTTTGTTCTATTACTATACACTATAAAACTGTCTAAATTGAAGAGAATTCTAATATTATAAAAGCCTTAGTCTGTCCATCCATAACGCTTTATTCGCACTCTGATTAGTTGTCTGAAACAACTAACCATAGTGCTTCAAGACCATTCCGGACAGGTGGTGGCGGCAGAGCGTCGCTATGATGGCGGGGACAGAGCGAGGGTGTGAGGCCAGCGGTGCCCTCTTCCCCCCTCCTACTCCTTGGAGGTGGCAGCGGGTAGAGTGGGCTTGGACCGCAAATGGTGGAGGGGGTGGAGTGACCCTGGGCCCCAGGCCTGATGTGGTGGGGAGGAGAAGGGAAGAATGGACCCAGGCCTGACATGGTGGGGGAGTGGGGAGTGGGGCCGCACCCCAAATAGGGTGGGGAAAGAGGGAACAGATCTGGATGGGGGGAGGGAGGGGACACGGGGCTCCGTCCCCACTCGTGCCCCTCCCCTCTCCAAATCATCCTTGATGGGCAGTTTGCTTGTAGATTATAAATTTTATGCCATCTCTTATGGAAATAAATTTGTTTCAATATCTAGGAATAGAGAAAGGGCATGAAAGTTGTGACGAAAATATATTCCTCAAAGACTGGTAAAATTAAGATGCTGACATTTTCTTTAGGAAAGTTCCTGTATATCTTGTAATAGAATGAGTAAAACTTAATCATATGTTTAAGTTCTTGGAGGATGTGAACTAGAAAAAACAGAAGAAAAAGGAAAAACCCAATAAAAGCAAAGGACTGGGGAGAGATACAAGAGAATAGACTGGTAACATGCTAATTTTAAATAAAAAATAAAGTGAGCTGAATAGCAAGGTTGAATCTAAAACGTTCTAACCAGTCTCACTTACACTGCACTCATAGTACTCCACATACCTCATGCAGTCGTTTTACAGGTTGTCTACACATGGGCGACACTGGAAAAACAAAACATTCTTCTGTTTATACTTTCAGAGAATTGTACATGAAACTCTGCACAACATAATCTGTTGAAAAAATGGGGATGTAAAGCAGCTTTGAAAAGAATTTAAATAGGCTTCAGCTTGGCTACTTAAGCTAATGAAATAGTAAATATTGGTCTGTAACTCCCTTCGTAATAACACAAGAATGAAGGGGGCACTGTATACGTGTTCTTTACAGGTCTACTCTATATATGAAATTCTTGAAAGCATGGAATTCAGTTTGTGAATCTGGAGATACTGCACTTGGATAATTTTATTTACAGTAATACTTGTGTGTTAAAACAGTTAATGGAATTGCTGTCTTTGAGGCATTGATGGTTGCATAGGTAGCAAAGGGTACTTGTTCTAATGTACATACAGCATTGTATAGTTGGCCCAGTGCATTATGAGTTGTCATATTTTTGTCTTGTGCCTAGTATAGGCCCCTTGAGACAGGACAGTACTGTTCACATAGTACTTGTTCTGGTATGGGAACTTCTGTATCCCTATATGGCAGGAAAAATCCCAACTCACTTTATGGTCTTAAGCAAATATCTTACTTTACTTTTCAGTTTGCCAGCTTAATCCTTGCATACCTGCAATCGCACAAGTGTTGAGGGTAAACTAGTATCTTTACAAGGCTTTCAAAATATAAAGCTCTATGATATCTGACAAGTATAAGTTTGTTAAAGGTTAACTTGATTCTTTTAGGTGGAAGGCAGGGTGTGCTAGACCCTTAGAGACTAACTGGTTAAAAAAGGCATAAGCTTTTATAAACTGTGTGTCAAGGTAGCTCAGGACTCCACAACAGCTGTAGAAAATTAATTAATTTTATTTTTCTGTATGTGAAAATGGCTATTGGAATAAACAGCAGAATACTGTGGTTTTTAATTTACATAGTTCATCAAAATGTTTTCTAGGATGATATCGGTATGGCTGCAACTGTATTAGAATCCCTGCTGAAGCTTGTACTACTAATTGGCTTGACCATTACAGTTTTTGGCTATGCCTATTCGCATTTGGCTCTGGACGTTTATGGTGGTCCAATGCTCAGTTCAGGAACAGGTAATTGATTGCTTCTTTCTAGTTTTGGAACTTCCTGAAAAAAGGCTTCAGACTTACCCATTTTGTCAGTCAAGGGCAAGATTACCTAGTGGGGAAAGACTTATGTAAAGAGTCAAATATGAGGAAGTAAAATTTATTCTGGGACCAGTCTTAAATGTGTACACAAGTAATGTTATTTAAGTGATTAGCTTGTAAAATTCAATGGGATGTTCATGTGAACTAGGTTATTTACAAATGTATGTACAGAGCCACGTACAATGAAGGCATCTTCCTAAATATGTATCCTAACATGACTTGATATCCTGATTATTCTGGGATATAGTCAGGTTTTTTTCCTTTTAATTGTTTCATGCTGCTGCTGTTGCTGCTGTCTGGATCAGCAGCAGGTGTGGTGTGTTTGGGGACAGTAGTTAGGGCTGGTTATTGGGCAAGGGATCAGGCAGCAGGTTGGGGATCAAATGGAGAACTGAGAGGCAGTGGAGGTTGGGGATGGGCAACAGCGTGGGTCAGGGATTGTGTGGAGGGGAAGGTGGCAGGGTTACTGGCATGGGGGCCTAGTGGTGGGGGAGCAAGTGTGGGCATCAGGCAGCCTGCTCATTCCATGCCCCCTTCCCTGCCCCCCTCCCCCTGGCATTTGGAGACAAATTTAAGACAACATTCCAGGAATTAGATTCTATAAAGGTAAAATTTAAACACATTTGAATTGTCCATTTATAGAATCTTATTACTGGGGGGTTTCTTAAATTCAAAGTTATCTTGGATTTGGGTAAATATTGTACTCCTTTGAACTGAAAGAGAAGGACTTACCAGAGTGAAACCTTGCTCTGTTAATTCCATCTTTGGGAGCGGAGTTGTACATTTTGACAGATTAATACTATAGAAGTATGAAATGTGGGCAGTTGTTTTTTAATGTGCTTATCGGTACAGGTTCACATATAGGGGGTTTTCAGGGTACACTGAACAGATTTCCAAGATAGATGTAGAATTTTGACCTTACTATATTTTCCTGCATACTGTGTGTACCCTTTCCCCCAAAATCACCTGCTGGACATTGGACTCCATATTTAAGGTAAAAGCAGTTTCTGCAGCTCACCCTCTGTCAGGGAAAAGAGAAAATGTGGCACGTGCTACACAGTGGGCATTATAGTGATCTTTCCCTCAACAGAGGCTCATGCTATAGAAACTGTTTTTCTAAAGTGGAACCAAGCCCTGTTTGCTGGGGCAGAGGCTCTTGCTAAATTAGCTGGGTGAGCCCTCAAATGACTCTGCAGGTGTTGCTGTTGTGGATCAGGTTATCAATTGACCTAGCTGTTCACCCAGCTTAGGTGGAAAAGAGAAAAGGGGTTGGGCAGTTTGACTCAGCCTGCAGCACCTGCAGCTATGATTTTAACAGAGCAGCCACAATGTTTTGTTCTTCCTTTACTGCATTTGCCTGTTTTCTTTAAGAAAATTCTGTACTTGCAAGTATGTTCAAGAAATGATTTTTTTTCTTCATTCTGACTTTCAAGAACAAGGTATTTATATCTTATTTTGTATGAATTACCAGTTCAATTAAATATTAATCTAGTTCCCTCTTTAGAATGGTTTCGATTTTTTTTTTTGAGAAGTTGTGTGTGTGTTTCCTTTGTGTATTTTGGCCCAAATACATACCGTATTTTTCCACA